CAATGACTCCTTCACGAGGATTCATCATGTAATCGCCTTGAGAGGGAAAAAATTATTTCTTCATGAAGATCCAACATGTAATCTCCTCGAGGGGATGCAAAGAATCCTTTGTGAGGATCCAATATGTAATCTCCTTGAGGGGTAACAAGGATTCTTTTGTGAGGATCCAATATGCAATGGTCACAAGGGTCGGAAAGGATTCTTTCGTGAGGATCCAACATGTATTGACCTCAAAGGGCGACAAGGATTACTTCGTGAGGGCCCAACATGTAATCTCCTCGAGTGGCAACAAGGACTCCTTCGTAAGGATCTAGCATGTAATCGCCTCTAAGGGCGACAAGAATTCCTTCAATCCAACATGTAATCGCCTCAAGGGGCTGCAAGGACTCCTTCATGAGGATCCAATATGTAATCGCCTCGAGGGGCGGCAAGGAATCATTTGTGAGGATCCAACATGTAATCACCTTGAAGGATTCCTTGATTTCATTTTATAACTCCAAGATCACCTGCACATTGCAAACACTTGCATAAATTAAGGGAGGTCCTCGTTAAAAACATGTGTCGGCCTAACAAAATAGGAAAAAAGTACCCATACAAAAACACCATTATCTATACAAGCACGAGTAAGACAAAAATTATGCAAAGACATAAAATAAACTAAACTAAACGAGGTTCGTCAATGTAGTTGTTGCTTCCAAGCGGGAATCCTTCTTCATCAATTTTCATGCTCTTCTCTTTTGATATTGCGAGGACTTCCTTTGTAGGGGAATTTTTTTGGCGACTTCACCTTTGAGTCTATGATGTCCACCCCTACCGTTCTAACTTTATTCAACATCAAGTTCTCCAATAACATTTTCTATAAACCTTCAGACCCCCCTTGTATGACGCCTACACACCCACTAGGGAGGGGTACTTCATACACAAATACAAGGTGGATAGGATGGCCCAACTGGTTAAAAGTTGGACGCCTTATGATCATATTATAAGATGAAGACACATTAATGACTATGTGTCTTACTTTAACTTGCTTATCATTTTGCTCTGTCTCGAAATAGTCTTTAACTTTATGTACCCTTTACTTGCACTGGCTCACCAGAGAGTCCTACCAAAGATCCTTTGAAGGACTTAAGGTCATACAAGTATAGGTGAAGTCTCTCAAATGTATCCTAGTAGAGGATATCTATAGAACTCCTCTAATTGATTATAACTCTCTTGTTTTCCCATTCATCACATCAAACGGAAATTACCTTGGGGCTATTGTTATGAGGGTGAATGGAGACTGCATATCCCTCTAAAAAGGTTACCTTGTCCCTCAAATAGACAATGATGCATGTATGTCAACCAGTTAGAGAATTGTTAACGGTCAGGACCAAGCAAGCATATATTTTACGGACGAAACTAGTTTATCTGCAATCGGGAAATCCTTCTAAGGTTGTATTGAGCATGTTGTAGATGGCCCTATTGCCATCCTTCCTGCTTGGCTCCCTTCCCCGACTGGTCCGGGAGTTTTTGCATCCTTCATGCCTTTGGGACCCTGACCCTCTTATCTCTCGACTAGGGCTACATATAATATATTTATTCAAATATCCCTCTTGGATAAGGCGTTAAATCTCCTTCTTGAGTTACAGACAGTTCTCAGTGCGGTGACCATTGAATTTATGGAACTTTCACCAACTATGGTCCCATGATGTCCATCTTCAGTGTTGGAGGTTGATGAGTATTGTGCATATGAAGGACCTCGATCCATATCTACTATCAGCGAGTGTTCAACAGTGTGAAGCTTTCCATAAGCTTTCCACTTTGTTTAAAGGAAATTATGCCTACAATAGGTGATGCATATTGGTTCCTTCTTGAGCCTTTAGTACCTGAGATGTGCTCCTTTGCATCATAAACCTTCTTTACAATATTTCTTTCCTCACGCTTGATGTAATATTAGGCTCACATCACTACTTTATCCAAAGCCGTCATTTTCCTTTGGGCGAGGGATTCACTGAAGAGTCTCACCCTGAGACTGTTCTAGAATACTCCTACAGACATTTTTTACTAGGGTGGGTGAAATTAGTGGTTGCCTCATCAAATCAAGCAAGGTACTCCTCTAATTTATCTGATGAATCTTGGCGTATGTTGAAAAGGTTGGTGGCGTATGTTGATGGACTAGTTTCTTCACCATGTCTTGATAGCTGATGATAGATAATTTGGGAATACCCATATACCATCTCAGGGTTGTGTCCCTGAAGGTGCCGAACACGAGCTTGCGCTTTTAAGATTTATGTGCTCTAATGATAACCATATGGGTGTTGATGGAGGCCACAAGCTTGTACGGGTTGTCACATTTGTCGAATTCTACCAACGAGTGTAGTTTAAAGGTCACAGGGCAGACGCCTCTCATATATCTCCCAATAGATGTTAGGGTCCAAAGGCCTCCAATTTATCCATTATATCATCTCCATGTTTGCGTTGTTGGATATGGTGAATTTTGTCTTCTAAAGTTAGGTTATGACGCAGAAGGTCATCCATGGCGACACACATCTCCTCTATGGCGTTTCCCTCACCATTTGATTCTTCACTGGCCAAAGTAGTTTCTTCCTGTTCACCAGTGTAGGTAGGGGTAAAAAATACTCTAGTTAGGTGTATTGAGGATGGCCCAGGTTAGTTTTACCGAACCCCATAATGGATGCTAATTGTACAAAATAAAAGTATGAAGAGTGTAAGAACCTCAAATGGATTAGGAATGTCAGAAGCTTAAGGTTTGTTAAGGATTAGAGCTAGCTCACACACGACAAAGTGAGAAGCTCTGTATGGTGGTTTCCTCGTGTGTTAGATATTCCTCCTCTTTAATATCGAAATCTTGGAGTATGTATAGCCTTCCATGGTCCTTGGGTCGAGTAAACCATGTTTTCTCTCCCCCCGAATAATCCTCGGGGGAGTGGGTGGTTAATATTCAGAAATCTAGGAGATAAGGTTAAGCCCCACGACTTACTAGCCACTGCTTATTGATTATTGGCCCAACACTTGCACGTCATGGATAGAGAAATAGAAAGTTGGACGACATATCCGGTAAATGGGTGATCAAATCAGGTGAAGGGTGCTCGAACTAATAAAAGGGCCACTTTAGAAGGATAATGTGTGCACCTCACATCCTCGCCCTAGAGCATTTCTCAATTATCCCACTACAATTATAAATAAACATAAACAATTGAAAATGTAGAGAAAAAGAGTGTTACCTTGGGAAAACTGCAGAGTTTGAGTCGAATGGATAAAGGTATCACCAAACATCCAGAAATGTTGCCTAAGAAAGAGTAAAGGTCGGAAGAAACAAATAACATATTACTAGCAAAACCGTGATTATAAGGAGAAATGGAGAAACATAACTTTGTTTCAAAAGGAGTGAAAAATGATTTATGGCGCTCGATTTTTTTATAGGTAACAAAGAAGAGCATATCTACGACTAAGCTTAAGAAGAATACCAAAAGGCGTGATCAACAACTCAACATTCCCCTACCCTAGGACCTAGGTTCATGTGGTGCGAAACATTTCAATTACAAGATAAGCCTACTCCCACTCAACATATCTTTGGCTCCACTTCTAAGATGAGGATTGATCCAAGCATATCGTGACGATGAAGAAGATGTGTCTTGAGGTTGGTAGCAAAGCTTCCACCATAATCCTAGCTTTATATATGGCATAAAGGATTTGGGGGTCATTATTTCAGGTCGACCAAACACCTAAACACCACGGATTTAATCTAGAATATCATCAAAGGAGAACGATGAACAAGTGGACCCTCGCTAGAAGACCGCACACTAAACTTAAACTCTATTTGTTATCATGAGTCGTTAGATATAATTCAACGGTCTCCCGCATTCTACATCGTGCTAATATATATATATATATATATATATATATATATATATATATATATATATATATATATATATATATATATATATATATATATATATATATATATATATATATATATATATATATATATATATATATATATATATATATATATATATATATATATATATATATATATATATATATATAAGCTTGTCTACATGTCATGACAAGTATATTTTCATTCAACATTATAAAATTATACCTCTCTGACTTCTTTGACTTAAATGTTGGAATGTTAATTTTGCATGCACACTTCTGCTCCATCATTCTAAAGACCAACACCACTATATTAAATAACTGTATATCTACACATCATGAATCTTTTATTCCTTGCCGGAATAGCATCTATTTGTAATTTCATTTTTATTTTTATTTTTATAAAAAAAAAATTCTTTTCTTTTTATTGATACTTTATTATTTATTATTTTTAAGAAAAAAAAGTTATTAGAAAGACAAATTAATACAAAATAAGTATTTTAAAATGTTTTTCAATTGGATAATTTTTCAGCACTTACAAACCTAATTTGATATACCCAATATAATTAACCATGTTTAAACAAATACTTATTGTACACTTGGATTTCTGCATGTCATTAGCCGTGTCTTAACAAATGCTCAATCACAACTACATTTGTTTAGATGCAATTAATTCCAAAACATATAGTTAAGACTTAAAACCGTAGCATAATGAATGGCTTATCAAAAATCATTCTCTTGTGAAGTTTGTTTTCCCAACCCATGGCTTATCATTTGTTATAAAAAAAAATGTGACAATAACATACATAACCATTTAATGTTCTGTGTTGAAATCATGACGCATGGCTACCCAAAAATAAAAAACGTGACATTTCCAATGCCGTTCATTCTTGTTACATTCCGATTCCAAAATATAATAAATAATAATCAAAAATCATTTTAAAAAATTGTAGATTGTAGAAAAATAGAAAATCAAAGAAAATTCGATCGAGAAAACAAAATTTGACGCTTACGGCGGCGGGTTAGTGGCCAACCACCACACTACCACCGCACCGGAGTAGCCACAAACCCCCGCAATCCGTACGTCAAAAAAATTTATCAAAACATTAATCAAAACGATGTCGTGTTTATCATATTCCTCACCCTATCAACTATTGGAAATTAGCATCATCTCAGCACAAGATTTATCTCCTGTTTCGAGTTCTATGAAAGCCTATGCAGTCGCATGGTTAAATCCAGAACGAAAATTAGCCACACAGATTGATGTAACGGGCCACACCGATCCTACGTGGAACGAGAAATTCGTTTTCCGCGTCGACGATGAGTTTCTCGGATCGGAAAATTCTGTTATAATGATCGAGATATACTCCTCCGCCTGGCTCCGTGATGTCCTCGTCGGAACTGTGGCTGTTCTTGTAAACAATCTCATCCCGCCGGGAACTCACTCCGGTAACCGGAAACCTAAGCTTCGCTTTGTTGCGTTGCAGATTCGTAGACCTTCCGGTCGTCCGCAAGGGATTCTTAACGTTGGCGTTTCGTTGCTCGATAGCACGATGAGGAGTATGCCGTTGTATTCGGAGTTGAGCACTTCTGGCGTTGGATTATGGGATCGGATGGATTTGAATCCGAACAAGAAGAAGATTATTAACAATTATGATAACAGTTCCGCCACGGATTCGAAGATGTTAACTCTTCAACGTTGCCAGAGCGAGAAAAACGATTCGACGGTTAACGAATATCCTTATTACGGTGCCGGGAAAAACGGTTATAACTGTTATGAGGAATCGGAAGTGAGCGCGGTGGTACAGAGGAAAGGCGGGAACGAGGAGTCGTTGTGTTCGGATGTTGGACCTTCACCGTCTGTTGTTGCAGCGGCAATAGCGAAGGGAATGTATCCGTTACCGGCGAGGATGAAGAGTCCGGTGGAGAGGGAGAGACGGGTGGTTGATGAATGGTCCGAGAGTAATTGTACGGAAGGGATGAATACGAAGATTGAGAGGTGGCGAAATGAGTTGACGCCGATGTATAATAAGGAAGAATGCGACGAATTGGATGAGGAGATTAAGAAGAAAATGGTGGCGAAGCAAACGCCAAAGCGAATTGGGAAGACCCCGGGAAGACCTCCGGTGAGTCAAAAAGGGAAGTTTTCGTGTTTTGGAAAAGCTTTTGGGTGTGAGTTTTCGATATCTTGTGGAGGAAGTAACCGGAAAAAGAAGGGCGATAAGACTCGTCTAACCTCAAACTCTGAGCTAACTTATGATGAATCGTTTATATGATTGATTAATCAAGAAAACTTAACTAACTAATTATAAATCAATCATTCCAATGTTAAATATCATATTAATTATTGATGGTTGGTGGAGGATGATGGATTGTGTTAGAGACTTGTTTTGAACTATTCTGCTGAATGTAATTGAGATTATTGGCATGTTGATGAATCATGATACATGTATAAGCAGAAGAAGGATGAAACTATGCATGATATGCGTCTTCTTGGATCGAGTAGAAATGAGTGTAGATCTCATCTCATTCTTTTTTTCTTTCTTTTGTTTTTTATTTTTGGTTTTGTGTATATTGGCATTCAATCAATTGAATGAGTTAAACCTAACTGGTTTTGTTTTTGGTTTACCTATATATAATGTAATTTTTTTCATTTCAATTATTTACATCTTTTTCTTCTTTATATATTCATAATAGAGCATGGTAACAAGTCCCTCAAATACATTCAACCTATCTCTTTATCCCATACAGACTAACTAATAATAAACAGGAAACAGAAAGCAAGGGCTTAAGGCAATAAATGGCAAAGATATTTAATAAATTTGACAACTTCCTTAAAGTGTGGATCAACATTGTTAATTTGATTCATATATCTTCTATGCATACAATAACAAATTTTCCTAGTTCCTGCATTGTAAAAAGTGGAAGAATTACAAAAATATTAAGTCTAAGAAAGAAAGGAAAACAATTAGGAATCTAGGAACACCCTGCATTTACATGTTTAATAATGTAATTATCTGTCAAAGGAACTTTTCGTTTATCTAACTTTGCATGCCCTATCTTGTAAATAAGCAAATAGAGGAGAATCTTGATCTCCTTTAGTTTAATTCCACCATTTGTACCACCACCATGCTTATTGTTATGGCGGTTGAAAATGAGAGAAACAGCATTCGACGACGAGGTTGTCTGAAATAAATAATTAAGAACACAAACTTTAAATCAAAATAATTTTCCGCCATTGCAATCCATCATATAGAACTCTTTATGACAAAAAAATCTTACAACCCTTAAAGTGGAGGATAGTTTCAAGCGCTTCATGATGTTTCATTATCAATGTTTTATGTTCAAAATGCTTTTATAATAGAAGTTATTTATGTTTCACGTGGATCATTAATGATAGTGTCTTGCGTGTTGATAACCATGAAATTGACAACAATGATTTGAGTACAGAACGGTGATAAATATTCTTAATTTTTAACGGTAAGTTATCCCCTCAGTTATTATGAAAACCGACGTGATAGACCATTTAATTTACAATTTTTTTTTAATAAAAAGAGAGGTTCCAGTGTTATTTTTCCCTTCAGTTATGTTAAACTCCAAGATAAGATGTTATTTTAAAAACTAAACACCAACTGAACACCCTTCTTCACGATTGAACATCCTCGGGAGTCTCGACAGCAAACTCGGCAAGATCCATATTGGTGTTTCACCTGACCAACCATATGGCAGAAAGTAGCATGCAATTACACAAGGTCCTCATTCATATACTCTAGATCAAAAATTCTGAATTCTCCAGGACATCCAAAAACCATATTCACGTCCTATTCATATTTTGTCCTAGACCTGATTATATGGATGAGGCTCTCATCCATCATCTCTTGTAAATCAGCTTTTATCTTATCGCAACCCTGTATGTCTGTACTGCAAATAGCACACCCGGAATGGTCATGTGTAGTAGCTAAATTCACAGAGGTCTACATGCATTTTCACCAAATATCCTCTAACCAGATTAATATCAAAAATCTGAAAGTCGCCTGGATAATCGGCCACCATATTCACAACATTTACTCCTCCATGCTTGGGTAGAGGATTGTCTTTCACATTAGGTCCCACATCTTTGAAAGATAGAATACCAGACTTCACCAATTTCTGCACCTCAGTCTTCAAAGGAGAACAATTTTCAACATTATGCCTTGGTGCTCCCTGATGAAAAGCACATGTTTGGTCTGCCTTGTAGTACCAAGGCAATGGTGATAGCACATCGGGAGGTGGTCGGGGTCTGAACCAACTTCTTCTGAATCAATGCCGGTAGTAACTCTGTATAGCTCATAATAATAAGGTCATAACTCTCCCTTCTATGATTATACCCTTGATTCCCCTGCTGGGACGGTCTCTGATAAGCAACGGTAATTGGAGTTGCACCCACAAATGGAGTAACTGAGGCGACTTGCTGATGACGCTGATAATTCCTTCTAGGGGTATTAACCCTCCTCTCTTGCATAACGACATTTGTGTCCCCTTCCTTTTTCTTGGTAAACCCATAAGATGGATTCTTCACACCTCCAGAGCTTTCACTTCTCGTTAAACGATCCTCTCTTACAGCCTCTTCTAAGCGGATACCCATTCCTACCATTTCAATAAAGTCACTTGGCGCACTTGCTACCATCCTCTCGTAGTAGAAAGCACCCAGCATTTTCAAGAAAATCTTAGTCATCTCATTCTCTTCCATGGGAGGGATCACTTGGGCGGCTACCGCACGCCATCTATGTGCATATTCTTTGAATGATTCTGTCTTTCTGAACCATGGCCCTGAGTTGATCACGGTCAGGCGACATGTCCATGTTGTACTTGTATTGTTTGATGAATACTTCTCCCAAATCATTAAAAGTATGGATGTTAACACTATCAAAACTCATATACCACTTCAGCCAGCACCGGTCAAACTATCCTGAAAAAAGTGAATCAGCAGACGCTGATCATCAGTATGGATAGACATTCTCCTTACATACATCACCAGATGAGCACGAGGACAAGTGTTGCCCTTGTACTTCTAAAACTCCGGGACCTTAAACTTAGCAGGTATCTTAACATTCGGGACCAAGCATAACGTATTCACATTATGCCCAAATAGCTCTTTTCCCCTGAAGGCCTTCATCTTTCTTTGCATCTTGTCGAACTGCTCTTGAAAATCATCCATTCTGTCATAAAGACCCAAGTCTTTACTCGGTGGAGGGAAAGGACGACACACATCATCGTTAACAAACAGAACCATATTCACCAAAGAAGGCGTAACAGGAGCAGCATGCACCACAGGAGGTGCCGTAGTAACAATAGTCTGAATAATTGGAGTATCTTGAGGACCAAGATTGAAACCTTCAGGTGTAAAATTCTCTGGCATTCCCCATGGATAACCTTGAGGCATGCGGTTTTGAACAACAGCTAGAGTAGTAGATACGGGAACAGTCAGAGCTTTAGTAGTTGCCCTTGTTGATTGAGGTTGGACACTCGGTGGCTGATTCTGAGCAGCCACCAAATATTTCATCAGAGTAGTAAGATTGGCCATGCCGGCCTTCAAAGCAGAAACCTCCTCGCGTAGATCGCGATTCTCTTGTTCTAATTTATCAATCTTCTTTCTGAAATTAGCCTGAGTGTTGTAGTGGTGAGTCAGCTTGCTGAACAAAGTAAAGAAGCTTGGTAAGACACCTGGATATGCATAAAAAATGCAAGAAATATGTGCAATATTATGCATGGTATACAATGCACATGATTTTATTTTATTATTTAATATTTCAAGGGATTTAAAATTTATAGACATATTGCAAATATCAAAGTAACAACGCATTTGAAATACTGAAAAATTTCATTATAACAACTCCAAAATGGATTACAAGTTTCAATGATCCTAAGTACAAGATGAAAATAAAATCTAAAACCCTGAGAAGTAAAACTGATGGAGATCACTTTATGCGCTGGAGCTTCCCTGTGAGCCTAGCAATCTGAGCCTTCAACCTCTGGTTTTTTTCCGCATACCTGGTGGCAACCTCCTTCCAATCACTTGAATCAGGAAGTGAGTAATCAAGATGTGATTGAGGATTAGGAGAAAATAAATCCCCTTGCCTCTCCATAGTCTCCACCGCTCGACTCTCAAGGATCTCAATCAAGTCGTCTTTCTCTTTCAAGTCTGCTCTATAGGAAATCTCTAAAGTTTGGCACTTGTTCTTCCAAGCATCCTTTTCCTGTTGCATCCTGACCAAAGCAAGTTGCAGCTCTTCTAGATCATCTAATAAGGGATGAGTGCTCTTCACAAACATATCAGGCATAGGTGTTTCCTAGGAATACGACATCTTCAACTCAATAGCTCTCGTTTGGATCCACTGAAGATATGGCTCCAAAGAAACAGCACCCCTAGGTCTCAAATCCTTCCTACTCTTCTTATGAATGTGACGCCAAGCCTTCACAATCTGCTCCCTAGCTTCCCTATGGTCTTCTCCCTCCTTCAGAAAGAAACTACTCAAATGAATACTATTTGGTTTATCCCTCATCGGATAACCGAGTTGTCGTCGTGCAAGAATAGGGTTATAGTTAATTCCTCCATTTGTACCAAGAAGAGGTACATTGGGGAAACTACCACAACTGTCAATAATCTCTATATCCTGGTAAGCTCGATAATACCAATCAATATCCGAGTGAGTAAGTTCCATGATCTTAGGAGCCCAACGGGGTTCCTTCTTGACATCCCAAAAAGCATCAGACTGAGGCATATGAGAGATAAACCATCGGTACAACAGGGGCGTGCAACCAATAATCATCCCCCCATGATAAGAATTCTGAAGATGAATAGAGTAATAGGAATCACCAAAAAATGTAGGAACTGGGTTTCCGATCTTGAAGATCCTGATAGCATTAATGTTAACAAACTTATCCACATTAGGAAATAAGAACAACCTGTAAGCAAGTAGAGCAAATATGGCCTCAAAAGCGACTGTACTCTTCATCCTGGAAAAGTAGCGAGCTTTCTCCAATAAGAACTGAGCTGGTAATCCTCTTATCCCTCCTTTGGTAGTCATATGGGCTTCCACCTTAGACTACCCCAGATGAATCAAAGCAGCAATCTCATGTGATTTTGGCTCATCCTCCAAGCCAGTAAAAGGAACACGTTCAGTAACAGGTAAATCCAATAGATAAGAATACTCCTCTAGTGTAGGCATCAACTGATAGTCGGGAAAAGTAAAGCAATTATACATCGGATCATAGAACTGGACCAAGGTCGAGAGAA